ATCTAAGGCGGAGTTTAGGGTTCCTCTAAAGGGTACTATAAGGGTTCCTTTAAAGGGATCTATAGTGCTGTCGGAACAACAGTGGCAGCCCCCAAAGCAAACATTGGCCTTTTCCGTATGTGCAGCTTGAGCCACGTTGTGGCGGTCGCGTGAGCTGACGGCTTCTGTGAAGGTACGATTTGGGAAAGGGGTAAAAGCAGAAAACACACCGGTCAAACTCTAGTTTCCCAAATCGTAATGAAGAGGTTCTCATGGGCTCTTCTGGCCTCTCGTTCAAGTGCCTTAGCTTGCAAGGCATGTCCCTCTTCCATCACAGACCAAAAACCATTACGAAGAACATATCTCAGATATGCCCCGGGATGCTGCTTCGTCAGCGGATCTGACAACATCGATCTCGTGTCTATCCAGCGGATCGTACCGCTGGTCTCAGTCAGATCGGACTTTATGACAGCCAAATCAATGGCTGTTCGTTTGTCGCTCACGTACGACGCTGTACAAGCACATTTGTTCACTGCATCATATAAAGATTTGGAATCAACAGCTGCAAGAAAAGGAAGCCTACCCGCTACTGCTCTCCAGTCAGTCACCGACAGATCGCCGAAGAGGGCCTCCATGAAGAGGAGGCGATGCCAATGGACCGCTCCCAAGCCTCCTTGCAAGGCTTGACCTTCTGCTGCCAAGGTGTCTACCGTCTTGCGCTTCAGGCGGTAGCTCTTCCAGGATGCCACCGTCGTCATCGCTGGGGCTTCCGTCTCTGAAAGCTTCTTGTCGTGGTAGATAACGATCTGGCCGCCCTGGCTGCTCAGGTTTTGGAGTTGGTTCAGGCTAGAGTGCACCTTGGTGGCCGGGAGCTTGTCCTCCTTTGACTTCCAAAAGACACTGTGCCCGGTCCAAGGGCTGTCTTGCAACACTCGGATGCCTTGGGCATCGGACCACTTGTCCTCCAAGACCTCCTTGCGCATGGTCTCGTCCGCCGCCTTGTCAAACTTGGTGATCATGCGTCCTTCCACGAGGTCATGTAGGTCCGGTCCTCCTGGAGCGGCTCCAGGATGGAAAGTAGTCCGTCGAGGATGCATATGATACCGGGTCCAGCGATCCGCTTGTTCTTCCCAGTAATCCTCTGGGTGGTCCTCTACCCATGGTTGTTCTTTGGCATTGCCCCATGCGGCGTCCGTCACGACAGACCCCCTGAGACTCTCGACTGGAATCGGCATCACTCGGATGCCTAAGTCACTGTACTTGCGGGCCTCCTCGCTGATCCGGTTCGCCTCGATGACGTCCTTCACCTGAGGCTCGGGGAAGGCTTGTTGAAGGAGAGCGACCCGCAATGTCGCATCTGGATTCTTTAGCCAGCCACGATAAAACACCCAGGGAACTACGCAGGGCCTCAATCTCGGCAGGGGTACACTTGGAGTACCTTTGTTGCTTGCGTTTCCTATCCAACGGAATGATCTGTACCTTGTCTTCCACATAAAACTTTTGGTTCACCAGAATTGATCCGTCGCTCTGATAGGCGATATCCTTCCCTGTGAATCTACCGCTGCCTTGTTGATTCTTTCCGAGCTTATACTCCTTGGCAATCGTCTCAATGTTCTTCCAGTGCCTTTCGTTGCCACCATGTAGAAGATCGTCCGTTGCAACCCCAATGATCCCTAACTTTGAACCCTCGCTCTTTGCCCCTCGAAGGAAAAACACGCATGGATCCGCCTTGCTGGTCTCGTACCCTAACTTCTTAAGCTTCTTGGCAAGATGTTTGTACCAGGCAAGGGGACCGTCTGTTAATCCATAGCAGGTTTTGAGTAGGCGTAGTAGTTGTTTGGGATGTGCTCCAGGGATGCCTTCACGAGGTTGCCGACAATACAATTCCCTTTGGATCCAATCACCCGAATGGAAGGCTTGGGTAAAATCCAAAAATCCAGGCATCCATTGAAAACTCGCAAGCATCTGCAACACGAAGACCACTGAGTCCCTGGTAATCTGAGGTGTTGTGAACTCCACATCCAGCGCTGATTCTTCGGAATACCCTTTCATGACATGTCGGCATTTGGCCTTGCATGGACCGTGCTCACGGTCCTCCAGGAGAACGCCTTCGCTCTCGGCCTTGCTGACCTCAGATGGTTCCAAGGGCTTCTTGGTGATCACATATCTCGACTCCATTATCTTTTCAGGCTTCTCGATCTCAATCTGCTGGGAAGCTTCACGACTCAGTAGTTCGTATGCTTGGGTGCCTAAGTTATTGTTGATCTCCTTGAGGATGGCAGTTTGAAGTCTCTCGTAGTCGGCACCCTTGAAGTCACTGGCCTTGGATTCCTTCTTCTGTCTCTGCTTTGTGAGACCTTGAAGATGGAGATGATAGGTCTCGATGAGATGCACTCGACTTCGTTTGCCCGGAGGATCAAGTTGATCTTCCGCTTCTCGTTTGATCCCTGAAGATGAACCCAACCCTGTATCCATGGCCTGACCCTCTGCATCCGGCTGGTTGTCGATGGCGATGTCGTTGTCGGCGTCGAGGAGGCCTGGCGGAAGTAGATTAGGGTCAGGGGATTGTGGAGCATCTTCTTGAGGGGGTTCAGTAGGAGCTTGTGGTTCATGATCACGTCCGGGTTCGGCATCAACATCACCTTGAGGTTGCCTAGATCTCTCAGGATATGAAGTCTTTTGTCGTACTCTACGTTGAGGAGCCGGGTCCCTAGGGGGTTCACGAGGTCCTTCTTGTACGATAGCGTCTTCATCTGCATCTACCTCATCAGGTTCTGGTTGAAGTGGTGGATCACCCGCAGGATCATTCGTTAGATCTAGGAAGCCTTTCTTGGGGATCTGCTCGAAGGTGTGGCGGGTTTGGGAAATCCCACGTAACCAACCGGAGACAGACAGGTTCTCTTCTGAAGACGCATGCCGAACTCTCTCTGCGGAAGCTTTGACGAGCAGATTGTTATAGGCAATCCAGACAGCGTTGGGCAACGAGGTCATGACCACACGTCGTGGTCCTGCCCAATATGATTGTCTGGTCTTCTTGGTGCTCAGCGCCTCTCCGCCAGAAGTAAACCGCCTGGCCCACTTCGAAGTCGCTCACCTTCCGGGGGCCGGCTAGAGTCGCTGATCTCAATGCTTGATCACAGTCTGCCGCATGAAAGGCAACGGCTGCTGCTTTTCGCATCTTCATAGACCGAACCACATCCTTGTCACCTATAACCATCCTAGCAGCAGTAGTATGATCATCAGCTCCACCCGTGAGGAGACCGCCTGGTAGACGGGGAGTGTAGCCGATGACTCGCTGGATAGGCGAGTAGCCGCCTCGAAGTAACAGGCGGTTCCGAGTCATACATGCTATATCGACAAGTTCCTTCCACTCTTCTCGGGTTTGGCACTGGTAGTCGACCATAGATTTATACAGGATGTCCTTGAAAACCCCTCCGGCTCGCTCGGTGAGGCCTCGTTGTGTCGGGGTTTCCAACGAGCTCGGCAGCGCTTCGCTGCCGTCGTTTTCCACCTGTCTGCGGAATTCGGCTTTGAATTCGGTGCCGAGATCAAACAGTACTTTGCGAGGTACCCCGAAAAATCGAACCCACTGACGATAAGCTTTTCGAACTTCACTGGCAGATTCGGCAGCCATGGGAATCACAAGCTGAAAGTGAGTGTGGAAATCGATTATGTTGAGAGACGGAACAGCTTCATTGTTATGATCTCGGAGATGAACGGTATCGACACCTATCTTTTCATTGATGAACAGCTCCTCCTTGGGAGGCGCGCCTTTCCGAACTGCTTCCGGTAGCCGATAAGCCTGGCAAGTTGCGCAGCGGAACTGCTGTGCTGCAGCAATCACTTCATCAGACGCATTTGACTGTCTCAAGATCCGTAGGAACCGTCCATGCTCAGGGTGCCCAAGGCCTTCATGGGCCCTCCGAATCATCCGTTCTAGGGTGACTTTTGCCATGCCTGGGAAGTGCCGCATCTTCTTGTCGGCCCGTTCGTCCAGTCGCTGTTGGTACACGCTCATGTAGCTCGTGTTCGGCTCCAGTCGCAGGGCCTGTCCAAGATCTTGCCACCTGATCTCGTCCTCCAAGATGACCCAGCGTCCTTCGACCTTGGTCCAGGTCGATCTCCATGGTAGCTTTCGAGCCTCATTCTCTTCCGTAGGCACTGCCACCTCCGGCTCGTTCTCGCCCACGTAGAGCCATCGGCTCGTCAGTCGCCCACCAAGTCGACCGTCACTCCGAGGGCCTCCGGCCGAGTTTCCTCGACGAAGTCCGGCGGTTCGGGCTCCTCCGTCTCGCCAGCAAAGATCTCGAAGTCGTGGTCGGCAAGGTTGTGCTCGATCTCATTGAGCTCGGCCGGCTCAAAGTAGTTGACGTCATGCTGGCGGTCTTCAGCCAACACCTTAGCCGCCGGTTGTACTCGAATTTCTTGAGGAGCCTTGCCCACAGATCGAGAGTAACTTTCCAGAATGGCATCCACGAGGCCAGGTGGATATTCTTGAGCTCTCTTGGAGATGGCTTTGCTGCCCCAGATCCACGTGTGGTGGTGGTTCCTGGGGCACTTTCTTGATAAAGTTTCAGCGACCGTCTTGTTGTTCGTCACGAACCCGGTCGGCTTCTTGTGAAACTCTCCGTTGCGATCTGTGAGGCCGAAGACGCATTGGTCCGCGAAGGCCAAGATCACCCCCACCTGGCGGAGGAGGCGCTGCACGGAAGGCATTTTCCATGAAGAGGCTCCGCGCGGATGCTCAAACACAAAAGTCGTCCCTTGTGCATGACATGCTTGACAAACTTTCATTGCGAAGTTTAGGAGGATCTTCCCCTTCTTCAACTTATCAAGATGTCGTTTCATCGCTGCTACATCGGTCTTCCTGAAGTTGTCTAGCAATCTGTTGAGCACGCTGAAGGCCTCGCACGGGGGAGAGATCACCACAAGGCCTGGACGTTCTTGCTTGATATAGGTAAGAACGGAATGCTGCACTGACCGCTGCAAGAGATCATGTCCTAACTCAAGGTCGAAGGCCTGACCTGGATGTAGTCGAAACTTCTTGGCCCTGCTATTGAACCGGCTAGGATTATAGACCTCGGCCACGACCTTGGCTTCTTGATGGGATAAAGCGAACAGCTCCTGATAGTGGCTAACCTTCTTGGCTGAACGACCTTGCAGTTCACGGCTTGCTCGGGCTTTTAGCTTCGAAAAACCTTGCCCGTGCTGGTCGCAAAGACAGCTTGCTACATCTGTCCATTGCCGCTCAGCTCGACGAAGGTGTCCCAGTACTTGCCGGTCTTGGCGTTTCCCGAGAGGCTTCACCGCTTCTGGCTGTTCTTGAGGGCTTGCCATCGTCGGAACTCCTGGTATTCCTCCCAGTCGTTCTTCGCCTGAAGGTCCTTCCCCGAGCGGGAAGAGCTGGCCATCTTGTTGGCCGACGGTGCTTGGGATGGACGATTCACCGGCTGTGGCGGCGGTGGTCCGTTCCGTACCATGTTGTCTGGACCCAGTAGATCCATCCCCGTCGGGCTGAAGCTCGGGCTCGCAAAAATGGACGAACTTGGAGACGGAGGATCTCGCCCCACCAGCGGAGCCACATCCGTCCCCGGCTTCACCTTCTCCCTGCGTAGGACCTTGCCGCAGTCCCGACACTTCACCTGCCGGAGAAACGCGTTCGACCCGGCATAGGTAGTCGTCCTGTGTTGGCAGACCTCGGTCGCAGTCGTGAAGCCGGAGAGGGCACTCTTCTCGGAGAGAGCCGGAGTCGTAGGCGCCGCTCCCGGGGCCGCCGGGTAGTTGATCGGCGGTGGGGTTGTTTCGCGGTGCTTGCCCGGGCTTCTCGTTCCCTGACTGCTGGACGCCTCCATTGTCGGTTGCCAGTAGGGCTGATGCTCCAACCAGCTGAAATAGGTGCAGCGGGTCGATGGATCCCGAGAGGGGACATCGCCGGAACAACCTCCCTTGGTCCCTGCCCTCCTTCCGCGTCTGGAGAACTACCGTCGGTTGGTGGCAGAAGCACTTGATCGTGGCCCGGTTGTTCTCTACCGGGCCCTTCGTCACGGCCTGGTTCTCGACCAGAATGAAGTCGCTGTCGCTCCTCTCGGCCATGACCTCGTCCGGCGTCCTCTGGCGGTTCCAGTCGCGCCTTGCATCCCAGTGTTCCGCCTGGGTCTCCTCTAGGGCCCGTCGCTCCAGATGCTGGTCCACGGCATAGCGCAGCTGGTCCAGCTCGTTCCCTGTCAGCTGAGGCAGTTCCATGCCACCTCTGCCGGGTTGAGCTCCGGCTCCTTCTTCTGGCTGCGCGAGCGCTTCTCGGCCGGCATGATGCTGAAGGTCGGGAAGCGGGGGATCACGTGGATATATGGAAGCACGGGGGTGCCTGCTGAGCCGATCTTCCGGAAGGTCGGCAAGCTGATGTGCATCAAGGGCAGGTTCCAGTTGTTCAAGGGCTTTGCTAAGCTCAGCTTTCATGTCTTTATTGAACCTGTGCAAGGGAACCCTCAGAGCACCGGTAGGGCCAATGTGTAGAGGGATCCTATGATTGAACTTCTTGAGCTCCAAACTCAAACCTTCCACTGGATCAAGATGCAACACTGACCGACAATGTAGAAAGGGCAAGGACAACAGGAATGGTGCCTTCCTGGTAGCTTCATCCTCGAACACTGCAGGTCTCAACAAGCACCCTCTGGGTCCCAGACTTGTCGGAATGCAAGCCACATGGTCTGTCTTACTGATGCCGTTGATGGATTTGAAGTGGTGAACTTCGTTCTTGACTATCGTTCGAAGGCCTGGGGGCTGATGCTCCAACAGCTTCCGAAGCGTCTCACTACCTACCGCAGATCTCTGGCAACCTGTGTCAACTGTGGCACATGTGTCATCATCATCCAGCGGAGTTTGCTGAGATCTGCTATCAAGAAACCACACATCATGAACAGGCAGTCGCTCCTTATATGCGGACAAAACGGAGGCCGATCCGGCAGGTCGCCTTCGGGATCCACTGCTTGTGGACCCTCCATACGTTATCTGGTCACCGGTCTCATCGGCAAGGGCCTTCTTGATTCGGAGAAAGTCATCGAAGCCGAGGAAGTGCGCCTCATGAGCTCCGGTCTCCAGAAGATGGGTCCCGTGCTCTTTCTCGCCCTTGCCATGAAGTCGATTGGGCCGAGGGCATTCACGATGCCAATGTCCAACCTGATGGCAGTTTGCACACTTTGTGCGCCGCTTCAGCGCCTCGATCGACACCTTGTAGGATCCCTCGATGCTCCGCCCTTGTGTCCGGATTTACCACCCCCCTTGCCGAAGGAGTGGCGGGCTCCAGTGCCGTAGCCCCTCGCGAGGTTCTTGTTCTTCTTCGCCTCATTCACGGCGAAGAAGGTCCTCTTCTTGGCGTGCTCCTTGACCATGGTCGACAAGATTTCCCGGGCCTCGTCCTCATCAAAGATCCCCTCGCCGTCGTCCTGGCCGCCCTCGGGCTCGCCGTCGAGATCCTGCATCGCATTCAGCAAGACCTCGATCTGATCCTCCTGGCCGTCCTCGTCGCCAGGGCCGTAGTCGCCGATGAGGTCGGAGTCCTCGGTGTGGTAGGCAGCGGCCGCCCTTGGCCTCGTCACGGTAGAAGTCGCTGCCGCCGACCGTAGATCCAGATTGGTCTCATGAACCCGGACCCACTCCTTCACGTCCTTTTGGCTAAGACGTCCCTGAGTGAAATTCATGAGAAGTTTCACTTCTTCTTGATTCAGCTGAAGAGCCATAGTCAGCAGGAAACCCAGGTACTCGGAGGGCAAGACGATGCTGTGCTCAGACAGCTTCCTGATGGCCAGTTCCCATCTGGACAAAAACTCCTTGTGGCCTTCGTTCTTCTGCCTCCTCACCGCGTAGGTTATCTTGAAGAGGCTGTTCAGCATGTCCTCGCGCTCGTCCTCGCCATAGAGCTCCCGGGTGTCCATTGCCGCGAGCAATTGCTCGCCATTGTCCTTTGCTCTCATCCAGCTGTCACTCTTAGCCAAATACTTCATGTCATCGAACGGCACGCCACTGAGGCTACGTACTAGCATCGGTCCTCTGCTCTGAGGCTTCGTCTTTGTCGTCGCCAACCATAACCGAGCCCTGATCAGGTAGTCCCGGAAAGGCGTTGTCGCGTCCCATGTGGGAGGAGGACCCGCGTTGCTTCGGTTCTCGCGGTCGTCCTCGTCGCCGTCGTCATCAGCAGCTGCCTGTTGCCGTCCTTGTCCTCGACGGTTCAGGAACTGCAGAAACTGTCGATACTCAGCCGCATCTGTAGGACTCGGGGCATCTCCGGCCGGTCGTTCGGCCTGTGCCCACGGATCGAAGGGCTCAGCTTCTTCCTCGTCGTCTTCGGGGACCGGCTGGTCCGCTGCAGGAATGGCTGCCATGCTCTAGGCTCTATGCGCACAAGAGATCGGGTAGTACCCTTACTATCCCAAGGACCTCACCAGGCGCTCCGCTACCACTGTTGTCGGAACAACAGTGGCAGCCC